GTATTTATGTACAAGAGTTGGTGCTACCTACGTGTTGTCTACAGCACGTTACAACTGGAAGGCCAAGATGCCATTTCCTCCGCCTATCCTTCTGATAAAAACTTCTGTGGAAGCCCAACTGCGGCGAACAAGGATTAGCTCCCGTCAATTCCTTCATTCTTAATATGCTTCGTATGCATCAATATATAAGGACATCTGAAATTCTGGATGCTAAAAGTCTTTAGCATTTGATTTTTTTTATTACTTTCTGGCCACATTTTAGGTCAAAAACAGCATTATTTAAGCTCCCAATTTTGCCACATCAATCATTTCAATGTTGGAACAAGCAGTTTTTATTCAATTATTCAATATATTTGTGATTGTAGCAGAGCCTGAAAGGCAGCTTTGCCGCAATACGAGATGATCGAGGTGAAGCATATTCAAAATAGGGCCACTGCAAATCGGACGTTAACTTTGTCTTTGCGATGTCACAATAGTTTCGAACAGAAAAATTCCAGTGCAAATTGAATTAAATAGCAAGCACATTAGAACCATATACAATATTTTAAATATTCACACACTCCTACTAAAACCTTTCTTCGGGGGATGGTTTCAACCCAAGCTTACGTATGATTGTGGGTGTGTTTGTATGTGTATGCATTATACACATTAAAAACTGAATCTGCGGGAAAAGAGCCCGCTGGCTCCAGCACAGCAAAAGCATGATGCTGACTATGATATCACGATTTAGCTGAGCATCTTGGAGCTCGGTTGCAATGGAATCCACCACAGTACTTGGCAGTCAGTCGCCTTCAGCTCACTTCTTATGATGTCAAGGTCGTCATGTGCAGTGTATAGCACGAGATAGGGCACACAATCTTCAAAATGCATGTAAATTACCTTCCAAGCAGTATTTGCTATTCAGATTTTGTAGATGATATGCACGTGTGATACTATACGAAATTACATATCCCACAGGCTAGCTATGAAAGTTTGTGTCAGTGCCCTTCAACACTGTGCATAAGCACTTCCCTCAGAAAGTAGAGTACAAAGCTTTTAACAATATGGTGTGCCCAAGCATGTACACTCAAATGCACAAGTGGCTTGGTTCTGTCTCTGTGCAACTGCATAGTGTAACAACAAAAGGCACCTGAATAAATTGAATGCAAGAAAATCTGCATCACCAAACTCAGGATTTTTTTTTAAACAAAACAAACTTCTCTCAATACCTCCTTTTTAGGTGTTTTCGAATAGCAGTACGAGCATAGAGTGCTCAAATGCTGTGCACAGTCATGAAGTCATATGGGCTTTCAGCAAATGGTGATGTACAATGCCAAAGTAGCCGAGGTCAGACTCGTCTACAAGAATAGCCAAAGAGGGACAGTCACACAGCTTTAGAAGTATGAACAAATCAGTCCATAGCTGTACAATATTGTATTGTGCAGTTTTGCTACGAAGCTCATGTGCTTGTCTAAATAAATAATCCTTCCCGAATTCAGTCCTTCCTCGAGTCCTTGGTTGGCAATTCTTCCATGGCCCATTCGCACATGAATGTAGTCTGCCTATGTTGGCAAAGCAACATAGTTTGCCTAAGCAGTGGTAACTTACTGCATGGCCAACAAATAAATAGTAATTTTTTTACACCAGTCCTCCCCCACATTCTCTTGTCAGAGGCTTGCTTCACTGTAACACAAGTACTAAAACTTACAATAATAACTACATGCTTACTAGTGCAATATTTTTCGTGAGAACTACCGTACTTAACCACATAATTTGCACACTTGTTTTTGCTATTTTGAAACTCTGCGAAGGGGGTGCGGAAATCACGCAGGCACTTTACGGAGCACATCAGAAATAACATGCATAACAAAATAATACAGTGAAACCTCGTTAATTTGAAATCCCACTTAATTCGAAGTATTTCAACGGTCCCGTATTTTGCAATGCAAGTTTGAGCGGGTAATTTAAAGCGGTGGTCAGCAAAAGTCTGGTTAACTTGCAAACTTCAGGTGCAGTGTGCAAATTCTCGATTCCAATTCTGCCGCAAATCCGCAGAAATGACCGCCCTTAAGAGCACTAGGCAGTGTACTTTAGCGATACTAATTAGTTGTGGCTGAAGCACCCTTGCCTTGCTACTGCGAGCTCGAAAAAAAAAAAAAAATGTTCTCGTGAAAACAAGACACACTTGGGGAAGACAAGACGTGCTTCACTGCAATACACTGATGACATGTGGGCAGCGTGTTGCATGCTTCTCGCAACGTCAGCCAACACGATTTATTCTTTCTTTCTGGAATTTAAAAAACTTAATTAAGGATAGTCTTCGGAAACCAGCAATGTATGCGAACCTCTGATTGCCGGTTGCTCCAGCAGCTTGCACACTTGCACGGCTGGTGGAGTTCTTGCCTGCAACGCCTACTTCGAAACTTGGGTAAGTAAGTTCACGATGGATCCTAACCAACTGGCCCAACTTACCTTCTTACTACAGTAGGAATGAAGTGCCAACCAAACAATGTTGACACACAGCTGGTAAAAGCTGTGACTTTCAGAACATGCCAAATATCTTTAGAATGGAGCGCAGTTGCGACGGCTTGGTTTGGTGATAAAAACGAGACTTGTCAGCTGATACCTGTTGGGGTTCCGTGGCTTTTCAACACACCCCGTCTGTGATGGTGTACAACGAGAGAAAATTATCTTTTGAGTTTCTGCTGTTGCCACTGTAAAAAAACTATGACTAAGACTGGTCGGTCTCCGCCGAAATTTGGAGTTTCCGGGAGACAGATGTGCATGGCGTCGGCACCATCTTTGAAGCTATGCACATTCAGTGCTCTCAAGTTAAAAGCCAACTCCCGCAATTTTTCGAGTTCAATGGATCTCAATGAAATTCGCTGGGTACGCTCCTTTGCACATTTTCGTTATTTATGCCAAAGTACAGGCTTAAGAAAAGTGCAGATTATTTGCAAATGAATTTTAAAGGGTTTCTTGAAGGGCTAGTTTATATACGATACTGAGGCTGGTCCTGTTTCCCTCAGAAGTTTAAAGATTAACTCGAAAAGCTCACCTCGCTTGCCAGAATTATTCACAACACTGTCTGTGCGACGCCATGTTTAGCATGTCAACGGAAGTGACGCAGCCGATGGCATTGCTACTTTGACTGCTACAGCATTTATTGTGCTGCCCACAAGGCGGCGGCGGTGGTGTTTGGCCGGTGCTTCACTGGTCTGGCTTTCAGAGTTTTCATACCACGCGCCGGCGTAACCAGTATACGGCCTCCGGTTCTTACCAAATAGTACGTCATATGCAGACAGGATGCCCGGACGGATTTCGTTTTGCAACTTTTTGCTTACTAAAGATTATTTTCAAATTTTCTAAGCATTTCAGCTACTGGGCTCGTGACAAGAGTGTCTCACGAACCTAGAAACACCATTACCTTGACAATGTCGAAAAATTGCCGGAGTCGCCCTTTAAAGACATTCAGAAGACACCTGCAGTGACAATGGTAAAGGAAAAAGCGAAACTAACAAATCTGTTTTACACGATAAATAACATTAGCCATTGGTAAGCACTTCTAGTAAAGCAGAATTTGAAGGTGGAATCAATTTATAGCTGGCTATCAAAGGGCATGGGTGAGGACAGGAGAGTGTTCAGGCACAGTAGGATATATACCAAGCTTCACAACCACCATCAGGATATTAGTATTTTCACTCAAAAAGCCTGAAATAAGGGAGGACAGCAACTTTTAAACCGGCTGCAAAGTGCCCGGTATAAGAAAAAAATTAATACTTCATTGAAAATGCCTAATGAGCTTGTGTAATAGCTAGCGCAAACATTTTTTCACATACCTAATAGTATGCATGATATTTAATAGCACATACTTGCTATGCCTAATGGTCCAGCAGTGGCCCTATAATGAGAAGAACCAGAAGGACAACCCTCGACAACGACACAACAAAAAAGCAATAGTACTACCGAGGTGGTTGTATCATCTAAGAAACAAGCACAACCCAGAAAACAAATGCATCAAGGCCACCTTTTTCGCGTAACACTTGTGCACTGCAGGGCAGCACAGGAATGCAGTGGTATTCTAACAGTAGTATCGCATCTCCAAAATGAAAGAGCCCACTTTTCCGCATTCACATAGGTTCTCTTGAGGCTCATCCCAATTCCAAGCATGGCTGCAACCTGTAAGTCGCTTTAGTTTCTTATAACCAGAAAACATGTTGCATCATTATCCTTATAAATTGTATCATGATGTTGTTTACCCTTTTGTATGTTTCACCTGTTACGCATGTTGTTACACATGTATATATACATAGCCTTTCAAGTTTCTGATGTTTTGTTTTTCTCATTACGAGAACTGTTGTATCCTGCTTACATTTAGATTATGTAATTGATTAAAATTATCATATTTCTGGATAGTATGCTTTTGTTATGTTACTTGTATGTCAATGCTTCTGAACCTTTCATTTTAGGTAGCGGGAGCTAGTCAAGCTGTTTCAGTGCAACTTTTACTCCTGCTATCGTTTATCTAGCATGAAACATGAAAATAAAGATTCAATTCAATTAAAAAAATTGTATAAAGAGGAGGTTATTCTGCATGCAGAAAGAAGATAGCTACATCGCGTTGTTTTTGCATGCTGTATGCCTTTTTCCGAGTAGCACAAGGATGAGATCTGCAATTACACATCAATCAGGAATATTTTAGTGGATAAAAACAGGGAATATCTGGACCTAAAATACTAGCTTGTCGACAATCTCCAGCAATCCTATGAAGAAAGGCGTTGTAGAGGTAACAGCCCTAGAACATCCCTGTTTTCAAGGACTACCCAGAAGCGATTTTAAAGCTACAATTTACATCGCTGAAAAAAAAAACTACAAAGAGATAAATAACCCATTTCATGAACGGCACAGAATAATTATGCCTCACACACTCTCTCTCACACATCTGTTTTATATTAAAAAGCTGGAATATGACATTCAGTTAAAGTGTTTGTTGAACCATTGACAGCCAAGTTTATGTTACATTCTAGTAAATGCAGTATTTTATTAGATTCTCAGTTGACAACAAAGGTGTTGTACATGGTAGCAACTTTCCTCTCACAATAGTTTTCAGTAAACTAGTACACATTTTAGGTCTTTAGTAAATTACATATTTTGACATGTTTTCCTGTCAACTAGCAATTTCGTCATAAATAGGTGTCGACATAAACTGGAGGAATGTACAAACCAGGTCACACGGTATATTGATATGTACATTGTACTAGCCTAATTCAAGATGTGTAATATCAGAAATAATATTAATGCATACCAAGTAATGGAAATTATCAAACGCACATAGCGCTGCACTAGATATGTGTATGATGTGGCATATACAGGAGGATGAGGAAAAGAATACATGCCCCGATCTTAAGCATAGGCCAATACCTCATTTTATGGAGACTGCATGAGGGTAGATGCACAGGGCAATGATTTACGCCGTTACACAGTACAGCAGCACAAAGGAAACAAACATGCTTTCACACTGATATGAAATATTTGAGGCTGTAGGCTATTTACGAAGGAATGCAACAGACAAGGGAGTGCACTCACTGACGTAGATATGCTTAGAAGTTTGCAAAGCTTTTTACATGGACTGTGTAGTCCCTCTGGCTATATGAGGTTCTCTGAAAATTTAAACGTCTCTTGTCAGGCTTTCCTTTGTTATGGGAGTCTATTGACACTTTGAGAGGGACGTTGCAATAACGCCACCAATGAAGCTTCAGAAATTGCACTCAAGTTTCAGCTGCTCATCAATGGTGACAAGAACAGCAACAGTCACTCAAAGAGCACCATGGCAAACTGTGCCCCTGCCAGTGTGTCGCACTTGGAGTTCACCACAACTGCAACCTAAACAGCAGCCACATTGCCAGTGTAAAAACAGGGGTGGTTCTTCACATTTGCCAGTGCGTGGTCAACGAAATGAACGATATGAGATGACGCCAGAGTAGATTTTGAACAACATTTATAAGAACAAGGGATTCCATCAACTTTCACAACGACAAGCACAAAAGTACACCTACTAAGCACAAAAGTACAACTACCTAAGGTCTGCGTGGTTACTGTCTAACCTACGTGGCTACACAATAGCTCACAGTTTGTTGAACCAGCATCCCGAGGAGGCGACAGTCCACGCACGGCGACGACCCTTGCCCGTAGCGAGCAGCAGGAGACAAGGCCTCCGTCAGGCCTCACGTTCATAAATGGCTTTCAGCCGTCTTAGCTGGCGACGGCAATCAGAAACCCCTCGTCCCTGCCGCGCACGCCGACGTAGCAGGAGCCGCACCCAGTGTCGTTGACCCCGGACAAATACAGCTGCTCCCGAACCTCGATCCCCAGGGAACAGGAAGGTGAAACTCCTCAGACAGCGCCCTGGTCCGGCGTGTCCCAGCTGGAGCCGCCGTCAGGACCACCAGGCGAGCACCAGGCCCTCTCTGTTAGCATGCCACAAAAACCTCTAAGGACAGCACTCTAATACGGCGCGTTCTTCGGCTAGGTCTTGATCGGCTCTTTGCACGATCCCCACGCGCCTCTCTTCTTTTTCCTCTTGTGCCACCTGTCGCTGGCTCGGCTTCTTGTCCTCATCGTTCTTTTCCATGTATGCCCGCACTAACATTACCAAATTTCACCAAAGTTTCCACGCACACACATTTGCGGCACACAAAGTTCGTCCATGCATACAGCCAGGTACCTGTGACAGTTGGCAGCACGGGCAGAGGACAGGCTGTCATCAACAGCTGCCTCAAAAGAGTGAGCTGGATCAAGATCAGTTGAACATCTTGCCTATATGCTGCCCTGGTACAGAAGACCACCACCTCACCTGGAATAGTTTACCAGATGAAGCACACCATTCGATAATTAACAGCAGCATCTTGGCACCTGGTTCTCTATTTTTGTCACCAATATGAATAAGTTGATGAAAATTTAGCAAGCAGAAGTCATTTATCACAGTGATATCATAAATTCGTATTTGGGGAATGTTATAGTTTTTGAGTTAGAATAACTCAGGCTGTGATTTCCGAACGAAATGGACACATGCTTCTCGATATTCTCCCATAAACTGCAACCTTCGCATCCAAAAGTTGCAAGTTATAAGTGTGAAGAATGTAAGGTGATTAAAAAAAACAACTTTCATCATACAGAGGCTTAACCTCCACCCTTCGTATTGAAATATGGCAGGTTCAGTCAAAGTTGCAGGTCCAGTTTCTGCCGGACGCAAGTTGTGTTACATTTAGTGCCTTTTACATTCTTTTCACACACACACACACACACACACACACACACACACACACACACACACACACACACACACACACACACACACACACACACACACACACACACACACTCACACATATATATTTAACTATTACTACAATGCACTTTGAGGAGCGCCGGCAGAAAATTTTGAAGGCGAGATAATGAGCGAGATCTATTTATCTTGAGACACACAGATCTACGAAATACCAAAGGCAAACATAGCCTAGAATATGTTCAAAATCAATTTTAAAGTGTGTGTCACATGGCTGCAGGTGTGGAGCCCTTTGCGACAACACCAACACAACCAGAGTGTAAACAAGCCCACAGCACAATATCGTGTTGGATCCATGACAGTGGTATAGTGGCTAAAGCATTCGGCGGCTGAGTCGCAGGATAGAATGCTGGCTACGTGTTGTCAGGATCCAACTAAATTCATGTAGCTAGACGCCAGGTGCAATTGTGCCACGTGAGATTACATCTGTTAACAAGACTACTTGTATGTGACAACTGTACAGAAGGTATTCACATGAAGTCATCCACAAGGAGCACTAGTGCCACAGCTGCCGTAATTGTGGTCACAAGCAGTCGTCATCTTAATACCACGACCAAGGTGCTTGGCCCGAGTATATTGTTGTGGATTTTTGTTTCCTCATCATTTAACAAGACTTAAAAGTGTCATACGTCAGATCACTGACCAACGGCTATTTTTGGCCACATGTGGACACTCACTGGCCCCGCATTGTAGCTAAGCTCGTTTAATGCTCTATAGGATCTTGCAGCGCTTTTTAAGCACTGACATGGCTCTGTAGCAGAACGCTCGAGTGCCCGGGTTCAATTTTGGCTTGATCTCCACCTTTTTTAATTTATTATTTCTGTTATTAACCTCACCAAGGTCATAGGAATTTTCGTACTGCGCACAACATTTTTCAAGGCGAACCTCACGCGTCACAAGGGGCTTAAGGCTTTCGTCTTAATAAACGCAGAATTCAAACTACTGTAAGTGCAGCCGTAAGCCAGACACAACGTATTAATTAGCCCATGGCTTCAGCAAAGTCAATTATCGAGCAGTTAACAGGCTCCCCTTATAGATGGCATGCTTTGATGTCACTGAACCACCGTGTTGAGACACAAGTATGTGAAGACGCATCATCTGCCATTTCACATCAAAGGGATTATAAAACGTTTTGTGAAAAGCCTTAACTACATGTGTATTCAGATTCATGGCCGTTTATTCACAACTACACCTCGATAAGTTCACTTAGTCGTTACATTCAATTCCCAGCTCGCGTTCTCCTCCAGTGCAGAGCCTACGTTGCTTTAGAGCGGCCAATGAAAAGCTTCTATCGTAGATAAAACATGGTGACCCAGTTACGTTTGCTGACCGAGCTTCGTGACATCGCATCGTCTCGATGGCAGCACCGCAAAGTAGTCACAAACGTTGTTTCCACTTTGATAAGTTGTGCGGCACCGTATGATGACGCATGCGGTATGCACAGTGAGGACGAAGCTGCATGCCATGATGTCGCCGGCGAGCTATGTATTGGCTGACACCCTAAACGCAATTAATGAAGCATTTCCCATCAATTCTAGACTTAATGCTACAGACAACGTTTCCAAATACGGGTTTGCCTGATTATACTGTGTACAATTACGTGCATCAGCTCCTCATGCTTCCCCACTTAAATCAAACGACGCATTTCTAGAAACGCTTGCAACTCAGTGGCACCAAAACTACGCAGCTGAACAAAGAGTGCCGCCTGTAGTGAGAACGATGTTCGGGTCAACGGCAAGTTTACGCTCGCCATAAGTGGTTCAGCTTCGAAATATTACGCATTCGTCTACGATGACAGTCAAACCGAATGACGCGATACTGGTGAGAAATTCCAACCTGGGGAAGCACGTGGGCCGGCACACATGCTGCTGTCTTACCGATGCACATTTAGCGAAACAAAACAATGCAGTAGCTTGCTTACCTTACGCCCATGAATTCGGCGTGCCGCGCTCAGGAAGTGCGGCAAAATTGATCGTCCAGGCATCTGGCGGCAAAAAGGAAACCTTCAAGGAAAGCACAACGTTAACTAGCAACATTCGGCGAGGAGCAGCAGAAATGAATAACCAGTTTTACCAAGCTGCGTGAAAACGACGAACATGGCTTACCGTGGTCGATAGGACTTGAAGGTCTGACATCAACGGTCGTCGTTCGCAGTTGCTTTAATATTTGGGCCGACAGAAACACGTACGACATCGCCACAACATCGAGATATTTCTCCATTCGCATAAAAGAAGGAATCCGCTCGTTCGTGACGGCCACGGAGGAACGAACGAGCGTGGTGAGGGCCATATTTTCATTTCTAGAGCGGTGTCCTCCATAGCAGCGTCCACTTTAAAGAAGCTGGGCGGGCAAAAAAAAAAGACAAAAAGCAACGCAACTACAACGCTATTACAGAACACCTACCAGTTACAGAATGTGACGGAACGTCACATCCTGTAAAAAAAATTTTCCTCTTCGTCTTTTTTTTTTTTTTCACCTAGCGCATGCGCAGACACTGCAAATACCTCAGATTCGATGTTTTTCAAATAGTTTTTCGAATAGGTTTTTACGTAACTTAGAAGTGTGGCAGCTTGGGCCAGTTGGTATGGTACACGGAGGCTTCCTCCGTGGTATGGCATGACGATAGTTATAGCGCGAGAACAAAACGACGACACAGAGACAAGGAGGACACGAAAGACACCAGCGCTTTTGGAGCTTATATGCAACAAACATACCGTAAAAAAGTTTTTAAAAGGCATAAAAGTAATTAAAATAACTCTACGTAACTGACGCCGTCGTTCAGCAAGCAACTTTTTTAGTACAAGGCATCCTCTGAAATTGGTAGCAAACGCCAAAATTGCCGATCTTAAAGGCCAAGTACAAAGACCTTTACCCCTACGTAGGCAACGCTGCCATAGATGACCGGTGTTTCGCGCTCATTCGGCAAGCACAGGAAACGCCCGTAAGGCACGCGCATGCGTAGTTCAGACCCGGTAAACCGGTATCCGCAAACTTTTTTTTTCCGTATAGCGGTGCGCCGGTAAAATCCTGACCGTACCGCTCTGTCACGTGCCATGACGGCTGCTCGGAGGCAACTGTGAGAGCATTGCTGTGTTCGCAGGAGGCGGCCGTCAGAGACGCTCACCTTCGTACCGAAGGAGGAGGATAAAATCAGAGGGTAGGACGGCGCGTTCGCGGCTCATGTTGCAGGCATAACTTTTTAGGAGTCGTTGACCGGTTGTTGGGTGGATAAGCGGTGCAGAACATGGCAGCGTCCAAAGGGGAGTGCAGCGAAAGCAGCAGCAGTGGGAACAGTGGCGTCGTAGTGACCGATGTATCGCCCAACGAAAGTGAGACACTGGAGGGTCGAGCTGTGGCCATACAGGACAAACTGGACAACACGTACCGTCAGATAGTGTTCCTCGACCAGCAAATCCGCGACCTCAAACGCCTGTACAAGCGTGCCGAGAAGAACAACAAGTATGCTTTTCGCTACAACATCCGCATGAAAATGTCCATCGCAAGCGGCATAAAGATGATGTACTACCACTACGCCAACACCAAAGTGGCTGAGCTGGAGCGCATCACCACACAATTGGAAGAGGCGCGTTCAACGGCCAGTGACACCTCGGATGGCGACAGAGTGTAGTTTTGGTGTGTGGCATGTTTTAAAGTTTCCATTATTGATGCCCCGTGTTGTTGCTGAGCAGTGCTCCGCTGGCAAGTGTTGTGCAGACTTCCTAAACAGTAATTGTTCGTGGGTGTCTTGTGCAGTGTCGATTCCTTTTTATTTTTTAACGTTTCTGCAAGAGAGCAAAGTCCAAGCGACTTCTTCGGCAACGACATGCGGCAAGGTTCTGTGTCTTCGTGTCCTTGTCTCTGTGTCGTCGTTTTGTTCTCGTGCTATAACTATCGTCATATTGTTCTGTTTCATTATATTGTCATATTGTTCTATCGCCAAATGTGGCGGAAAAATTTATCTTATTGTGATTTTTTTGTGAGAGCTTTGTGTCGTGCGTGAGCGACGTTGGCCGTTTTAATTAACGGAACGCGTTGCAGAAATCGGGACGCCTTCTCTTGCTGTCTGCGCAGCTGTACAAATAAGAGATCGTGTCTCAGAGTTAGGGAAAGGACGCATCGTCCGCCGTACATTTCGCGAGTGTGTGTGCGATGAGCTTGTTCGCTATTGCGTGTGTGACATTGGCCGTTTTAATTAACGAAATGAATCGCGCGTTGCATAAGTCGGGGCGCATTCTCTTGCTGTGTGCACAGCTGTGCAATTAAGAGATTCTGTCTTGATCAGTACTAGACGGTGCATATGAATGCGGTGAAGTGAATTTGTGAGTCGCATCGCCGAAGCACGGACTATCTCCATAGCTGTTTGTACCTAGTCGACTGCACACGACGACGCATTTTCTGGGGTAACTGAATAGAGTCCGAACGATGTGTCTTGGGCTGACAGCCCCGCCACGGTGGTCTAGAGGTTAAGGTACTCGGCTGCTAACCCGCAGGTCGCGGGATCGAATCCCGGCTGTGGCGGCTGCATTTTCGATGGAGGCGGAAATGTTGTAGGCCCGTGTACTCAGATTTGGGTGCACGTTAAAGAACACCAGGTGGTCTAAATTTCCGGAGCCCTCTACTTCGGCGTCTCTCATAATCATATAGTGGTTTTGGGACGTTAAACCCCACAAATCAATCATCGTCTTGTGCTGACACAGCTAGGGGAAGCGTAGCGTCCCTGTCGTTGCGCGTTCGACACGGCACGATCAGTTCTGCAGAGAGCCTACTTCCGAGATATGATCGTCGGACATGATCAGAAAAAAGAAGGGCACAGCCTGCTGCGACTCTATGCAGCTTCCCCAGAAAATGCGTCGTTGTGCGCATTCGACTACGTATGCACCGCTACGGAGATATTCTGTGCTTTGGCGGTATGAGTGTGACGTATATTGAAACGCGGCTCACAAATTCGCTACCCCTTAAGCATTCATACGCCTCGTCCCTAATACTGAGACACAATCTCTTAAATGCACAGATGCGTACACAGCAAGAGAACACGCCCCGTATTCTACAACATGCAGTTCATTCCGTTAATTAAAACGGCCAACGTCACACACGCAAACAAGTTGATCGCACTTGCGAAACTCATGGCAGGCGACATGCACCAGGGACGACATAAAGCCCTCACAGGGAAGTCACAACTACAGGGGCAAATTTCTCTGCCAAATCTGGTAGCAGTCTGGCAACAACCACCCAAAGTCTGGCATTTGAGATATGCAGTGCCAAACAGAGCCTTGCCACCCGCCTGCTTAACACAAGTGATGGCGACTTGAAGGTCAAGCGCAAGTGTCGAGGCTGCGTCCTCACATGATTTCCTCTCGAAGCCTGCTTTATCATGACCTAGGACAGACCTCGTTATGAACAGCAGTGTTTGTGCTACGAGAAGGAGAATCCAGACGAAGATGTGTAAGCGATCTGAACACCACTCCATCCACCTGGGCATAGCGAAGCTGTGGGATAAAACAGTGACAACAGTCCATCTAATTTTGTGTTACTCGGGCCTTGTTTTTCTTTTTTTTTTTATTACAACTTAAGGTTTTATGGGCGTGTGTGTGTGTTGTCATTTATACCTAAGTTAGCATTAGCATTGTTTGATTTTTAGTTTTACAGGCAAAGTTGGCTGGCCAACCTTTCCTTTCTTTGTGATTTTATGCGCTCACTCTTCTTTTGCATCTGTGATGTGAATGTGCGTGTTTGAAAAGTGCGCAACGCCATCAGCCTGAACCAAAGAGGACGACGAAGATGACGCTCGGTGGCATGTGTGGGCATAAAGATTTGGAGCCAATAAGAAGCCTCCACGGAGATTTAGGTGAGCCACGGGGGAAGAACAGCGAAACCAGGTAGACGTGGCTGAGTCGGGAACGAGTGCAGAAGGTGGCCTGGGTGCGGGGGTGGTGCCATCAGAGCTCCTGCGTCAAGGTCGCTGTGGGCTCCCACCTGGACCCAGAACCTCTCGTCGCCTGGCGTGGGCCAGGCATGGTCGTTTAGCGTTGGCCAAGAAACGTCTCCGGCTTCGTGTGCGAGCTGCGGCTGCCGAACGCCGTAAGGTCACTGACATCGACCAGCCCGACGCTTCCTTCCCTGCCAGTCAATGACGCAAGGGTCTCAACCCCATCACCACTGTCACCGTTTGCGTAAGTGCGTCTATGCCTCGGTAGCAGAGCCTCCGCCGCAAGCACCGCGCCCCGCGATGTGGGGATATAAGTTCCTATTGTCTGAACATTTATTTCCACTCACTCTTCGTGTCTTTAGCCATTCGTTCTTCCTGTTAACCTCGTTGTAGCTTTGCATGCGGTGTTCTTTGTTGTTTATCTTTTAGTGGTTTCTGAAATATATTGAGTGTTGGGTATTCGGTGTAAACAAATAGTCTCGTCTGCTCATTTCTCGATGACGGTTATGTTATCGCTTTTTGGTTTATGCTAACCTACACGAGAGCTTGCCCATTCAATAGCCTCGTGACAGCATTACACCTTGGTGCTTTCTTGTGTTGCCTGTTTTGTCCCAGCTTTTGTACTAGTCTAATGCTTCAGCATTTTTTGCTTCTTAATTCAGTTGCCCTGCCATGGTTTTTTTCCGCGCAATGCTGTGTGAATTACTTTGTTGACTTAACAACCTTCCCCTTATTTTTAGTTTGTTCATTGGCTTTAGATAGCACTCTTTTGTGTATGCTTTTATGCTGGTGTCTTTACTCACAGGACTTCAAGTAATGTTGTTGCAGGCATCATTAAAAGCACAGAGTAGGTCCTATAGAAGGGTTGCAACTGACGTCATCCTCTAGGGCGCCAGCGGCATCTGCCATCATCTTGGTAGTCCGTGGCGGTGTAGATGCTCTCTGGTTTGGCGCTTCATCGGCTCTGTTGAAGCGGCCCCGAAAGGCTGTGTGCATGAAAGTATGCTTGCTGCTGCAGTGTGTGCACATAGAATACAATCGAGTGCCTACACACACGGAGTCCACCAAGATAAATGCGCTTCCGATCTGACACTGGCGCCATCTTTGGGGACCCTTCTCCTACAAGCTTATTTTTGATCCTTTTTCTCTGAAACTACTAAAAGTAAAGCATTCGGGCTTGTTTCATTTTATTCTTCAGCATCTCTTCTTGCAATTGAACTAGACTTTTATTTCATGAGCCCATTTTTCGGCAATTTTGTTAAGAAAACCAAGTAGTTTTGTCATTTTTTTACAAAAGGTGCCGAAAATGTGAAAACTCTTCCACATACGTACACCATCCTAGTTCAGGACGCGCTTGGCGGATTTCGTGCCTGATGGTTGTCTTGTGTGCGATGTCCTCTCATAGGACCAGTGCAGAGCATGCACCTCATTTTTGTTCATATTCACACTGTGCTGCTGCTCATGCAAATGACAAAAACACAAAATGAACGAAGTGGATGCGCAACTTCCACCTTCATGTGCTGTTTTTATTCTTTCAAACGCCACAGACACAAAGTGGACAAAGTACATGTGCACATGATTTTTAATTTTTCCTATTCAAGCAAGGCGCAAAAACGAGCAGAGTGAAATTCATGTGCATCTAGTGTGCTCACTTCACTTTTTTGGACCACCTATTTTGAACCTCACACAACCTTTAAACATACACATTTAAGACTTCTGCCTTAAAATTATACGTCTACGTCAGTTAATCAATGGCTGCCTGCTTACTGTTTAATTTTCTTCTTCATACATTTGAGGTGGCATGTGGTGTACTACACCCGTACTATTTCAACCTATGTGTGTCTGAATGAACCAGTTGTCACATATTGAGGCCGCTATGATGGCACTTGCAATGCACATTGTTGCGTGGTTTTCAATGACATTCTCGGTGTATAGTGGGGCAGATCCTGCTGCTCTGTTCTCTGCAGAACTATGCAGTAAAACAAGCTGTGCCTCAATATCGTCAGTGCAAAAAAAAAATCTACATCAAGAGCATAAATTTCTTAAAGGGGTCTTCAAGAACCCCTCATGGGTGGTGAAAAAAAATGCAGCACAGAAAACACAGTGTTTCAAATAGCTCAGCCATATCTTGCAGTCGTTTGTGTGTGGCAAAGAGAGTTTACAAGTGTAGTGCGAAGCATTCTCTGTTCATACAGTGGCCCGTACTCGGAGGTTTTTGTAAGGCAGTCGCAGCACAATTTTTTTGTCGCACAACAAGTTACTGTTGTTAGTTGATAGCTGGTGTAAACCAATAGCAACCTTTGGTTCATATGTGCTTTTTATTTTTATTTATTATTTATTTATTAGTATACCCTCAAGACCCAGAGGGTGTTACAGAGGGGGTGGGTACAATATGAATGTGGCAAAAAAAAATAATAACAACAGAAAAATGAAAAACAGTGTGCAGTTACGCCATAATGTGTTTCGACACTGCGGATTTGAACAGCCCTTGATTCTTAGTGGCAGCAATGGAGGGGGGAAGGCGGTTCCAGTCCCTGCTTGTCTTCGGAAGAAAAGACTGCAAAAAGTGGTTGGTGTGGCAGAAAGAAATGGCTACTTTATTCTGATGGTCAACACGGGATGAGATGTGTGCAGGTCCTGAGATTAATTCCTCTCTAAGTACTTGATTATGAAAGAAAATTTTATGAAAGAGCGACAGACGGAAAATTGTTCTTCTCGTGACCAGATCTGGGAGTTCAAGAGTAGATTTCATTAAGGTCACACTGGCAGTACGAGCATAGTTGTTATGAATGAAGCGGGCTGATCGGTTTTGGACAGCTTCTAAGGCTTCAATTAATGTTGATTGAGCTTGGTCCCATATGGCAGACGCGTACTCGAGTTTTGGTCGGACTATTGTTTGGTAAAGCTGCAATTTAAGGTGTGTTGGTGCTTGGCGAAAGTTTCTGCGGAGGTAACCAAGAGACCGGTTAGCGTTGTTGATAATGTAGGTAATGTGAGAATGCCACGATAGATCATTTGTTATGTGAACTCCAAGGTATTTAAGGTATTTGTAGCTACTAACCTGCTCTAATGTAGTTCCATTTAATGTGTAGTTGAAAGGCTTCGGAGTGATAGAAGAACGTGTGATTGTCATGCTTTTACACTTAGTAACGTTAAGGTTCATTAGCCACGTATTGCACCAGTCAGAGACGCGATTAAGATCACCTTGAAGAAGAACGTTGTCGTCTTCGTTAGTTATTCTGCGGTACAAAACGCAGTCATCAGCAAACAGTTTTATGGATGACTTAATGTTACTTGCTAGATCATTGATGCAGACTAAAAAGAGTAAAGGACCTAAAACGGAACCTTGCGGTACGCCAGATCTAACTGCACAGGGATTTGAGCAACAATTATTAGCGGTAACATACTGAGTGCGGTTAGTAAGGAAGCATTCAATCCATTTCAGAGTGTTAGGGTCGATATTCAGTATGCTAAGCTTTAGTAGTAATTGGTGTGACACTTTATCAAAGGCTTTCGCGAAATCTAAAAAAATGCAATCTACTAGTATTTTGTTATCTAGTGCTGAGATGACGTCATGTGTAAAACATAGAAGCCGAGTTTCGCACGAATGATGGTTACGAAATCCGTGTTGGAACTTGCTGAAGAATACGTTAGTTTCAAGAAATGCCATGAGATTAGAGTAGATTCGTGATAAGCCTTCCAATGAAAAACACTGCTGTCGAGCTTAGCAGAGCGGAAGAGGCGTTTTTTTTTATTAAGAAGCCTTTTCAGGTTTACTGTGAACCATGGCGATCGCTGCTTTTTTGATATAACTTGAAGCGGCACATGCCTGTCGATCAATAAAGAAATTTTGTCCCTAAAACGACACCAATTCTGCTCGACTGATCGGTCAAAAAAACCAGGCATATAGCTATCAATAAACTGTTCAAGTTCCGTATTTATTGCGGCATAGTCCCCTTTTTTGTAGTTTCTTATGGTCTTCGTAACCTTGGTTCAGGGTGAAATGTCAATATTTAAAGTGAATTGCAGGCAGCAGTGGTCACTAACACCAGGAAAACAAGTCAGTGAGTGCAGTAAGTTTGGTGTCGTAGTCAGGATTAAATCCAGTACATTAGCAGACGTAACGGCTGTTCTTGTTGGTTCGGCGACCATTTGAGTCAGATTGAAATCTAAACATAAATTAATAAATGATTTATTCTCCGCTGTCACCTCTGTGATACTAGGACTCGTACTTGACCAATCAATTTTAGGAAAGTTAAAGTCTCCCAAAAGGAACAGATGAGAATGCGGAAATTGTACAACTAGTGAATTCAACACGTCATGCAATTCGCTACAAAAGTCAGGCGCCGCGTTGGGCGGCCTATAGCACACACAAAATAGAGCACTCTGGTGGCGTAAAGGGATATTTGCACAAACAATTTCTAAAGAAGAATTCACCGGTATCATGTGTGACTCTAGGTTATCGGCTACCGCTATAAGCACACCTCCCCCTTTTCCACTACTACGATCACAGCGATAGATGGTGTACTTTTTGTCGCAGTCAAATAGTTCACTACTGACTACATCGGGGGACAGCCATGTTTCGGTGAGCGCCACGACGTCAGCGCAGCACGAGTCAATGACAGCCGATAATGTGTCTCGCTTATTGATTATGCTTCTGACATTTGATAGTAGAAAGGATGTGCCAGCCAAAACAGGGGTCACAACATTTGATGTTCGGGCTAGGACAGGCAAGGGCCTCTACCAGCAGACGTAGAAGCAGACGAAGAATCGTTCGCACTTTCATCTCTGTCGGATTCCAGTTCACAGATGCTATCGGTTGTTCGCGAGTACACGAAGCACTTTTTGTTTATATATAGTCTGTTATAACGTGCTGAAAACTGCTGTTTGCTAGCTTTTCCATATTCAAAAAACTTTTTATGCACACTTCTCGTAGTCGCACAGAAGTCTTCATTAACCGATAAGCCAGAAGCCTTGAGTTTGGCTCTAGCGACCAAGATGCTCTCGCGCAGCTTGGAAGATGCGAATTTAATTATGACGGGTCGGCATTTTCCTGGCGCATACTTTTCCAACCTGTGCGCGCGAGATATGCGTTCGTCATCGTCACCAAGATTTAGCTTTAATTCTGTATTAAGGACATTGCATACTTTTTTTTCACACTGGGTCCATGTTTCGGATGCAGTGTCTTCAATGCCGTGTAATATCAGATTATCCCGGCGGGAGCGATCTTCTAATTCGTTGAGACGTTCGCTCAACGCTGCCAGTTTTGGCGCTACGCCCACACTCGCATTTTCACTGCTCAAGCGCATACTGTCCTCTACCACGGAAAGCCTGCTGTGAATGTCGCAAATTTTTTCTTCAAGTGAACGCTGCGCTTTCTTGACAGCGCTGAGAGAAGCCATAACCTCGCTGTGCTTCGTGTCAACGTTTTTATGAAGGGATTTTATCAAAGAAAGAAGTTCTTTGTGCTCTTT